ACAATAACAAGTGTTGGGGATGATGTGGAGAAATTAGAACCCTTACACACTACTGGTGAGAATGTGAAATGTTGCAGCCTAAATGTGGAAAGCAGCCTGGCCATTCCACAAAAGGTCAGAGTTGTCCTATGATCCAGCAGTTCCACTCATAAGTATATATACCCAAGAGAAATATAGACATGTCCATGCAAAAACTTGCACACAGATGTTCCCAGGGCATTATTCATAATAGCCAAAAAGTGAAAATAACCCAAATGTCCATCAACCGGTAAATAAAATGTAATATATCCATATAATAAACAAAATGTGATAATGCATATATGAATAATCCATATTATTCGGCCATAAAAAGGAATGAAGTATTGATACATGTACAACACAGATGAACCTTGACAATATTATGCTAAGTAAAAGAAGCCAGTCACAAAAGACCACATTATATAAATGTAGTTATATCCAATGTCCAGAATGGGCAAATCCATAGAAACAGAAAGTATAATAGATTAGTGCTTGCTTAGGCAGGAGGGGGATGGGGAGATGAAGGGTGACAGCTAAAGGGTACTGGGGTGATTAAAATTCTAAAATCAATTGTGGTGATGGTTGCACAACTCTGTGAACACTCTAAAAACCACTGAAGTATACTCTTAAATGAGTGAAACATAGGGTCATAAAAAATGAATGACAAATACAACTCCATTTCACTTGAAGAATTAAAAAATGCTTGCTTATTCCATTAATATTCTTAAGCCTACACACATTTATTATTAAGTGAGGCAAATCAACTCCCATCTTTTGGCTCTTCTTGGGGTTCCCTCAACAGTATCATCCCCTGGTAGTCTTCCTAAATCCACTTTCCTTCTGCAGGAGAAGGGATCTCCCCTCAGGCTTCCCAGCAGGCCATCTACCCTCAAGTTATTTCTTCCTTTGGGGCAGGAATTTACGGTCATGAAAACTAAAAAGCTTAGATTTTGAAGTCTGTTTTTAATCCATTTGTTGACAGCTTCTGGCACTTGAAGAGTCTCAGAGTGATATCTTCTGCTGTAGCCAGATGTATCTGGGTAGGGAGATAGTTGTGGCCTAGTGACAAAAGCCCTGGACTCAAGTTATCTAGAAATCTGCACTCAAACTTTTATTCTGTCCCTTACAGACTGTGTGACCCTGAGCAAGTCACTCAACCACTCTGATCCTCACTTTCGTCATTTGTAAAATGGGGATAATACCACCTAATCCACAGGGATATTCTGAAGACTAATGCTTATAAAAGTATCTGAAACAGAGATAATAATTCAGGTCAAAAAACTATGTTCCAGGCTCCATACTAGATGCTGGAGACACAAAGAGAAATGTAATACTAGCTGCCTTCAAATTGTTCCCAGTATACAAATGCTGATGATATGAAATCATTTTCTTTCTTCATTACCTTGCCTTCTTTTAGGATGGCAATAGGAATTTCAGAACTTTGATTCCCTGCCTTGGTGTATACTGTCACCTTTGTGCTTTCAAGACAGATCATGCTGAGAGGATAGCAGTTATGTTTACATCTTTCATTCTCAAAAAGGGGGAGATGGAATGGTTACTTAAATGTTATAGGGAAAATATCTTTTTTATGCTTTCAAGTTATTATTACCACTGATCTCTAACTCTTGCAGGCTTTACAAAAAGGTGTTTCCATGGTAAAAGTATGCTTATTCAGCACCTTAAAATAACTTACGGAAAAACTCTCATTCTCTCTCACTCCCTGTACCCCCAGCCTGCCTGAATTTACATTCCTGAAAAGACTGGTCACAAAGAATCATTTCTCAGTTTAGCTACCTTAATGACCAATTTCTGGCTCACCTCCTGATTTTGAGATCAGTTTCTACTCTAAAAACAAAAGGGTTTTCAAGAAAAATACTAGCTCAGTTTATAAACAGAGGTTGACATAAAGTCACTATGGGGAAAATGTAGGAGATCTCAAAATGTTGTAACACATAACCCATCCTTCCCTTGATGGGGCAATTCCACAGTCACAGAAAAATATTTTTCATTTTAGAACAGATTGTAAGAGAGCCTTTGCCGAGAGCCAGTCGTTTAAATTTTCAATTGAATTTTAAGCAGTATTATACATGTCCAAGAAGATCATGCTATTTTTAGCTAATAGGTAGGACTGCTGTGTCCACAATCGTTTGGAGCAATCAGGAGTGAAACCATTAAGTAGCATCTCTCACTGTGGTATCTTATCATTTACCAATTCTATTTCTATTTTAATATTTTCCAAAGCCTCATCATAAAAACACCTGTAAAGCACCCATGCTAGGCACAATACAAAGTTCAAATAGAAAGACACGGTTCCTAAACTTCATTATGGGTTAAACCCACATTAAGCAAACCAGATATATGAAAGAATCTTGGCTGGGCACTATGGCTCACGCCTATAATCCCAGTGCTTTGGGAGGTCAAGGTGGGAGAACCACTTGAGCCAGGAGTTCGAGGCCAGCCTGAGCAACATAGTGAGACCTGTCTCTGTAAATAAATTAACAAATAAAAAAAAGAATCTCACACTTAGAGCATTCTCAAGTTGCCACCAGCCTTTAAGTGTCCAGGGGAGAAACATTAGGAAGCAATTGTCCTAACCCATCATCTTTCAAATGCTTGCACACCTTTTATGTATTAAAAGAAGAGGGGTAATGAAAATGTTCTAGGTCAGAAGCGATGGCTCATGCCTGCAATCCCAGCACTTTGGGAGCCTGAGAAGGGTGGATCACTTGAGCTCAGGAGTTTAAAACCAGCCTGGGCAACATGGTGAAACCCCGTCTCTACTAAAAATACAAAATTTAGGCTGGACATGGTGGCTCACATCTGTAATCCCAGCACTTTGGGAGGCCAAGGCAGTAAGAATGCTTGAGCATAGGAGTTTAAGACCAGCCTGGGCAACATGGTGAAACCCCATCTCTACAAAAAATACAAAAATTAGCCAGGCGTGATGGTATACATCTGTAGTCCCAGCTACTTAGGAGGCTGAGGTGGGAGGATGGCTTAAGCCTAAGTGGCAGAGGTTGCACTACTGCACTCCAACCTGGGCAACAGAGCCTGACCCTGTCTTGCGCACACACAAAAAAGGTTCTAAAACTTACTGTGGTGATGGAGGCACAACTATACCTAAAAGCCACTGAAGTATATACCTCAATGAGAGAATTGCATGATAAATGACTTATATCTCAATAACACCATTTTAAAAGGGAGAAAAATTGTCTTACTCTGATTGTTCTAATTAGTCAAACCTATTTTTTTAAGCTCTCATGCTAAAGGCTATCTAGGTACAGACTGCACTGGTTTGGCAAGGGTGCCTCAGAGGCCACCATGGAGATCACTTTAACCTTCCCTTTAACATCCATCTTTCTTTCCATCACACTTTTCCTAGTCTCTCCTGTTATTTCCCTAGTCTCCTTCCCATTGCTCCTCCACTGTTTTTTTTTTTTTTTTTTTTTTTTTTTTGGTTTTTTTTTTTTTTTTTTTTTTTTTTTTTTTTTTGTGACGGAGTCTTGCACTGTTGCCCTAGCTGAAGTGCAATGGCATGATCTCGGCTCACTGCAGCCTCCAATTCCCAGGTTCAAGCGATTCTCCTGCCTCAGCCTTCAGAGTAGCTGGTATTATAGGCACCCACCACCACACCTGGCTAATTTTTTGTATTTTTTAGTAGAGACGGGGTTTCACTATGTTGGCCACGCTGGTCTTGAACTCCTGACCTAGTGACCCACCGGCCTGGCCTCCCAAAGTGGTGGGATTACAGTCATGAGCCACCACACCCAGCTGCTCCTCTACTGTTAACTAGGTGTTAGGTTCCTCAGGTGTTCACAGCATGGTCTGTCCCAACTGGTAGACCTCAGGATTAAACTAATTGCTGACCCTCTGATGCTGACCCTTGGCAACTATCCCTTCTTAGGCAAGTTATGTCTTGGCTCTCTTGTCACTGTTTCAGTATTTCCAATGAGAAATTGGGCCACTTAATACTTTCCAGGTCTCACATTCATGTGAAAAAAAAATCCAAATAATGAACACTTACTTGGCCAATCACATGCAAAGTCTCTTGCCAACCCACATACACATATATTTGGATTATTAATTTTGTAAATACCCACCATGATGCAAATCCTCTGAAGAACCACACTTATTTATAAATTGGTCAACATGGAGTCCTTATTTTAAAAAACTAGCACTTTTTCAAAGAAAATTTAGAATCCAACACAGAATGCTTGACAGTCCCTCCGGACCAGTCTCCAGGGATCTGTTTTCAAAAGGGAAAAAAAACCTTTTGGGTGTTGGGGACTTCCTGGATTTACCAAACCAAAGGAGGAAGTAAGATTGATTGAGGTGGCAGAGCCTTCACAACAGTGGTTCACCTAAATCCTAAGAGAAGAAAGGCCTTTTTGGCAAGTGGTAGAAAGAATTAGCATAAGACAGCACCTCAACCTACGTTATGAACTCTCAGAAATATGCTCAGAGATCAATAAACACTGCAGGAATCCCCTTACCCTGGACAACTTGCAGCTTTTTATGCAAACCAGTTGCATTCCCCAACAAGTCATAGAAATATGTAGTCACTAGTTTCCAGCATACCCGCACCACACACTTTCACAGTATTGTTTCCATGTGCCCAACATCAGAGAGCAAAACCGAAAGAAACATCAATTTCTCCTACAACATACACACAGGAATATGCAAGAAAAACCATTTCTTTGCAGAACCCGTGTTGTCTAAGTTGTGGGCATGAAATGCATAAATATTAGTTGCTAATAAAAACCAGACGGTTAGCTCTGTACTGGAAAGCGAACAGCACATACATAAATCATAAAAAAACAATAACCCTAAGGTGCGTTCCCCATCAGTAAGCTGAAAACCAAACAAGGAGAGAAATGACTCAAAGTGTCCATTTGCATCCCTCTTTCCCATTACCTCAGACCAACAACATTTCTCCGGTGAGTTACCTCCCTACACTTTTGTCCCCGATCAGAAGAGCCTCGCGGAAAAGGTCACAGGCCCTCTCTTCTTTCCCTTCAGGCTCTTGAGGCAGTGAAGGAGCATGGGGGGAGGGGAACGGAAAGGACAAAGGTAGGCGCTTTCAATCCCTCTAGGCTTGGCTACAGGGCTCCCAGCCGCTCCCCTTCTCATCGCGGAACTAGAGCACCTGCTAGGGAGAGGTCAGTCCCTTCCTCCACCTTAGTAACCGGCCCATAGGGCCTTGGTGTCCCAGGAGCCCAGGCGCTGCAGCCCTAGGGGACAAAGGAGAGGGGGAGGCAAAAGAAGTCGGGAATGGTACGAATCCCTAGCAAACAAAAGGGAGGGGGCTGAATACCAAGCCGGTCGCGGCTGTTCCGAGGTGGCCAGGTTGGGTGGAGAAATGCGTGTCGGGGAGGGGAAGATTTAGAAAATTCCTCTGGCGCAAGGGATTAGGGAGCTGCTTGGGGGCGCAGCAGCCGGCAGGAAAGGGGCTGCAACAGGACGGAGGCCCTGGGGCGAGAAGGGGGCACAGCTCGCGGTGGGAGAGAGGTGGTGGCCAAGAGGTGAAGGCCAGACTGGGCCCAGTGTGGGGTGAGCGGGGGCTGAGCCCCGCGCGGCGCTCCGAGGGGCCTTGAGGAGGGTCTCAGAAGGAGGTTGGGGGCACGCGACGAAGGCATTCGGGGGAGAGGGCAGAGTTGGGGGACGCAGTGTTGGAAAAGAGGCTGAGAACAGAGCTGTAGAGAGGTTAGGGGGACTGCGAGGGGGCCTGACCCCCGTCCGCCCCACCTCACCTGGCGCTGGGTTAGAGTCCAGGTCTAGTGCTGAGAAAGCGCCAGCTCCGGCCGGTCCCTCTGTCCCGCGCGGGAGACCACGGACACAAAGCGGGGCGCGCGGGAGGAGGGGAGGAGAGAGGAGGGGGAGGAGGGAGGAGGAGGAGGAGACGCCTGAGGCGCGCGAGTGGGGAAAGGAGGGGCGCCCGCCGCCCATCGCCTGGGTCAGGGGGCGGGGCATGCGGCTGGAGGCCGCGCTCAGCCGGCCAATGGCCACTCCGCCGGCCCGCAGGCTAGGGCGCGCCTTCCCGCGGCTCACCTCGGCACCTGGGCCTCGGTTGGCCCCAGCCAATCAAATGCCTTTATTTGTCTGACCTGCCCCGCCCATTCGCCCCAGCCAAGGACTGCTCACAGAGAATACAAAGAAGGCCCTCCGGAGGGGAGGGAGTCGACCTCAGATCGCCTACCCCAAGGGCTTAGTATCACCTTTTCAGCTTGCTTATGGGTCTTTCACAGTCTTTTACATAAGGGGAGTGGAGTAGGGGATCACAGAGGTTTGGCTCAAGATCTCTTAAGAGGTCGGATCTCTTGTACTTGAGGTCCTTGTAACCAAGAGCAGCTCTCCTCTTCCAGGGCACACAGTTCCCAGTCTTCTCCTGTGAGCCTTCCGCCCCCACCCCTTTTTCCAGTCGCCCTAATCTCGGGATGCTGCTTCCCCTAGGCTGCTGCCCACTACTGGCCTTCTCCTGAACTGCAGCCCACACCAGCAGGCTCTGAGCACAGCCTTAATTGATGCTTCCAAGCCGCCCAAACCAACACCTATCCAGAAGGAAAAGGACAGAGGAAGAGGTTACTGCCCTAGAGTAGAAGGGACCCGGTCAAGTGGCTTTGTTACCTAGGATGGCAAAAAGCCAACACATAATAGGGTAAGTCTCACTCCCCCAGATTAGCTCTTCCCACCTTCCCTTCTCCTACCTTCAGGTCTGTACTGGGCCACGATGGTGACTGACTGGCCGGCCCGTTTCAGAGCAGCTGCAGCCTGCTCATGAGTTGCATTCCTCAGGTTCACTCCATTCACCTGTCCAAAGAGAGAAGCTGTGAGCCACCCCAAAAGCAAGAAAGGGGGTCCTCTGCACTAGTAGTTAGGAGGAGTAACTCTACTATAATAATTATCTTCATAAAGGTCGAAGTCCAATCAGCGTTAAGATCTAAGAGGCATTCCATTCCTCCGCAAAGATAAGTCTGGTCCTGGACCCTGTCACTCACTCAGGATGTCTATAAAAACAAGGTAAGTTTTCTCCAGTCCTTAGCCGTCGCCTCAACTCAAGAAGCATTCCTCGGAGGAAGGACTCCCAGTCTCCATTTTAGACTGGCACAGTTCCCATACTCCCACCTCTCCTTTGTCTCCTCACCGATAAGATCCGGTCTCCCCTGCGCAGCTCCCCACTCAGGTCAGCTGGGCCTCCTGCCAGGATGAAGGAGACAAAAATGCCTTCTCCATCCTCTCCTCCTACGATGTTGAAGCCCAGGCCTGTGGAGCCTTTGTGCAGGATGATCTTGCGAGGCTCTCTGGTGGGAAAGGAGTGGAGGAGTCAGGACTAGGTAGACATGAGCTGTTGTACTTTGAGGGCCAGCCTGGAACAAGGTCCATACTTGCTGTAGGGAGTAAGGACGTGGTTCCCTATGTATGATAACCTGAGCCTCCCTTTGTCTCCTGAAACCTGCTTGGCTGCTGTTCTGTCAGGTGCCAAGTTTCAGTTCCTCTTCCCTCCCTCCTTCCTGAGGGCTTGCAGTCAACTTCCCAGTGGACAGTCCCCTACTCTCTCAGGTCAACAAATCCCTAACCTGAACTCCGGAGACCAAATCTCAGAGCCCACTCACTGGTCCTCTTCCTTCCCAGATTCTGCTATCCTACCAACCTGTGTGATGGACCCTGGTGGGCCACAAGAAGAGGAAGCAGTTAGGGGCGTGCAGTCACCCTGGGGTTGATTGCACTCACCACCCACAGGATGTGCACACTTACTTCACAGATACTCTTCTGCAGTCTCAAAATTCCACCCATCAGCTATGACCCCTCCTACCTGCTGCCCTAACAACATATTTAATCAGCAGCTAACACTATGTAGCCACCGGGGGTTGCAGCACCTGGGCTCTTAGGGGGACCCCAGGTCCCCAAAAGGAGCTTAGAAGCCGAACTGAAGAGAGCAGACAAGTACATGAAAAATGCGAGCAAAACTAACCACATCTAAGGAAGCCCTCCGTAAAAGGTCACAGTGTCATCAGCCCAACTCCCAGCGCACATTCCCGGCCCACTGCCTTCACTTGTTACAAGCATCCTTCCTTGGAGAAGCCCAAAGCCCCAAGCAAGATTCCTCCTTTCTGCTCCCAGTCTCAGGGGTGAGGCTCCCTCCCTGAGTCTCGGATGCTCTTGCTCCTAGTCCTCCACTCCTACCTGGCATCCCCTCCGGGCCGCAGGGAGCGGAGTGGCCAGGCCCACCTCTGCGAAGCCCTCCTCCAGGCCGAGGCCGAGGCGGAGCCCAAGCCCATGGCCAAGCCGGAGCCCGAGAACTTGAGGGCCCTCTCCATAGCCCCTCTGATTTTCCCCCGGCCGCCTACCCTTCCGGCTCCACTGCTGCCTGCCCGCCAGCCTCCGGGGCCCCACCCTGCAAACCTGTCCCCCGGAACCCCGGCCGGCCCGACCAGTTCCAGGCCCCGCGCAGCCGCCGCCGCCGCCGCCAGTGGGGCGGGGCAGTTGCCGGCGAGGCCACTAGGCCGGTCAGAGTTCCGCCAACCCCACCGACTGAACTGCTCTCTTTTCTAATTTGAAATGGTTGCAGCAGAGAAGGCTGCAACTATCTCAGGGCAGGAAACTCTGCTGCCCTCACCTCCTCAGCCCCCTAAACGCTCCACCCCATCCTCTATCTGCACTTTTGGACCGGGGCCACTCACTTGGCACGCCCCCTGATGGTAGAACTTGTCTCTGCAGCCACCTCTGTCCCTCTCTAGGTCCCCAAGGCCTGAGAGAGGGCCTGGGATCCCAAAGCCGGGAGTAATGAGGGCCTTATCCTCTTTGCCATACTACAAGGAAGGCTGTGGCCGGCCAGAAACGGATTCTTCCCCTCCCCCACTCCTGGGTAGATTGAATGGGGTGTTGGGGGGGTGGTCTTACCTGGTGAAGTCCTCCTCAGGCAGCATATGCCTGGGAATAGGAGAGTAGCGGGTGGGGGGAACCTGAGGAGGAGCAGGGTAGCTGACCTTGCTCTCCACAGCCCCGAGATAACCCAGGCTGGAATTATGGCTTATGTGGTTGTCAGCCAAGGCAGTAAAAGCTGGAATCAAGAAAGGGAGAGAAAAGTTCAGAGACTGGTCCAGGCAGGTTCCCTAAACCCCTCCAAGGACTTTCCCCCACACCTCCTTTCAGGTGCAAAAGAGACCAAGGGATGCTGATTCCTCAGGCCGCACCTCCCCACTCCATCCACCCGCCACCCAGGGTTCCTCCTCCGCAGTCCCTTTCTAAATCCTTGGCTCACTCCTGTGAGTCTTAGAAAGAGCTGAAGTCAAGGCAGTCTACAAAGAAAGACATGACTAGAAGTGTGACTAATAATAATCCCTCACATCTCTATAGCCTAATACAGTTTTCCAAGGGCTTTCTCGTCCATGATCTCATTTGATCCTTGCAGCAGTCCTATGAGGAAGGCAGCACATACATCGTTAACTCCCTTTTGCCAAAGAGGAAACAAAAGACCGGTGAAAGGGACTTGTCCAAGGGCATCCAGCTCTAAGGGACAGAGCTGGGATTTGGACTCAGCTTTGAGCACTATCCTCTGCAGCTTCTCTCTTTCCTCTTTTTAAAATTCACTCTCTGTAGAAATTGTCAAAAATTGCAAATACTAACTCTATGGCAAGTCTTCATGGTGGGGTACTGAGCAAAGTTTTCAATTAACAATAATGGCACTCAGATAAACTTTATTGGCTGCTATGATGCCACCACTGAGCAAAGCTGCTTGCTCTCGCTTAACAAGGGATATGAACTACTTCCCTCCAGAAACCAGGGGACAGAGCTTTAGTTCAGGGACAGGGGTTGATGAGTACATACTGCTGGCGTAGTCCGGGGGAGCGTACATGTCATTGAGGTGGAGGCTGCCTGGCTTGGCCACCTTCAAATACACCATATCAGATGTGTTCTTCAGTGAGGCCACAGCTTCCTCGTGCCTCACATCCTGCAGATTGGTGTTGTTCACCTAGAAGAGGAAAAGCCTCAGGCTGGGACTTGGGAGAGGGAGAGGCTTCTCCAGGGAATCTGAGGGATGCCCTTTCAGTGAAATTCAACAGTGCTAACAGAGGCCCAAGTATAGTGCTGTGAGGAGCAGAGGCAGGAGGTAGGGGATAGGGCAAGTGAGGGGACCCCGGCCACAGAAAGAAGTAGGGTCTTTGAGTCTGGGCAAACACAACACAGATAATAACTCTTGAAATTCCCCCATGATGCCTCATCCCTGAGTGAGGTTTAGGCGGAGTGAGGGGTGCTGGAGCTCCTCCTCCCTACCCTACAATTTGGGCATCCCCGTGAAATCTGTCTCACCGCCAGCAGCCGGTCCCCAATCTGTAGGCGTCCATCCTTCTGAGCAGCACCCCCCTCAATGATCTTGGTGATGTAGATGCTGTTGTCTCCTGGGATGTGCTGGTTGCCAATGCCCCCAGCAATGCTGAAACCCAGGCCTAAGCGGGAGCCAGTAGGGGGTGGGAGAGGGGCACAAGGAGAGGTTAAAGTGTTCTTGATCCCAAATCTATGCCCCCTCCCCCAGCCAACACACTGGCCCCACAGGAGCTCCCCCAGGGAATCCCAAATGCTAAGCTGCCATCCCGAGATGAGTAAGGGTGAGGCCTGAGGTCTAAAAAGCAGGCTGTGAGTTGGAACAGGGGGAAGTCAGACAAGGAGCAAGGCCATTCCCTTCCAATTCCCAATGGGGGCTGGTGGGATCTGGGGCCTAGGGCTCTGACTAGAGCACAGGAACCTGGAGGGCCGCACCTTTGGGCCCTTTGAGCAGATTGACCTCCATGACGGTCTCAGGTGGGGGCTGTCGCCTCCGCACCACCAATCGCACCACAGGGCCTGCCTCCTTCAGCGCTTCCACTGCCCGGCTGTGCACCACTTCCGACACGTCCACCTCATTCACCCGCAGCACACAGTCATTCACCCTGCGGGGGAAGCCCAAGAGGCATGACACTGTGCCCCCCCACCCCCTCTCCCACTTCCTCCCACTTTTCTGTCCTCCCCTTCTCTGTCCCCTCCCCTCTCAGATCTGATGGAAGGGTCATCCTGCCAGGCCAGCCCTCCTCCCTCCTCTCATCTCTATCCTGTCCCTGCCACCCACAACCCTGCTTCCAGGCCATCTCACCCCAGCCTCCCATCCATGGCAGCTGCTCCACCAGGGATAATCTTGGTAATAAAGATGCCAGGGTCATCAGGGACATGAGGATTGTCGATGCCACCTGCGATACTGAAGCCCAAGCCAGAGTTGCCCTGCAGAAGTGGGTGGAAAGGCACAGTCTGTTCACTCTGAAGGCACAAAGGAGACTTCCGGGTACCTTATCTCCCCTTATGTCCCCGAGCGAGTTCTCCAGGCCTCAGAAGGGGTCATGGCAGGCTGGGCACATCTGTCAGAAAACCAGGCTCTGCTAACCATTCCGGGAAACCCATCCCCTTCCCATTTCCCCAGGCCTCAGTGAGCAAGGTCAATTATTTGTTAGTGGTTGATTGATTGATGCATCAAAGCAGCCTCTGAGGGCCACTGTTTCTCCATTCTCTTAATGCAAGTCCCCCCATGGGTCTTGAAATCATGATTCAGGTGTCTCTCCTCTCCTGGCTCCAACCCTCTCCCCTTTCTGCCTCTCCCCACTGGCAGACTCACCCGCTCAAGTACAATTTCCTCATATTTGAACATGCCATCGCTGCCATTCACCTAGAGGGAGACACAGGCAGTTCCCTTAGTGCCCTCTGACCTCCCAGCCATCTGCCCCTTGGTCAACCTGCCTCCTCCCCTACTCCCACAGAGTAGAGGAGCCCGAGTACACCCCAGGTCACCTCTTGGCCACAGATGAGGAAAGGCTGATCCGGAAAAGGCCGCTCCCCACTCACCCCCCAACCCCTGCTTTGCTTCCAACCATATCAGGCCAAACCCAGCCGCTCATTTAGCCCAGATCAATTGTCTGAGACTGAGCCAGCCAGTGGTGCACTCACCGAAAGGCTGGGCTTCAGGGCCTCAGGGTTCACTAGGAGGGATGCAGGGTTGGCCTAAGGGGGATGGCACAGATGGAGCATGGAGGGCAAACCATGCCACACCCAGCGTCCATAGGGGATACCCAGTGGTGTAGACAGAGAGCCCCTCCCTTTCTGAACCACAGTTCTCTCTGACTTGGGGATCATAGATTCCCACTGTGTCCAAACTGAAAGGACAGCAGACATCATCTTGTCCAACCCCCTTCATGTGACAGAAGGTGACACTGAGGCCCAGAGAGGACATGGGATGTGCCTAAGGGTACACTGGGAGTTAGTGGCAGAGCAATGGGATCTCTAGGTGTTCTGTTCATTACTGTACGCTCTTAGGGCAACTGATGCTTTGATCACTCATCCCCGTCCCCCAGCAGAGCTCATGGGAAAAAGGACAATTGCCCCCCTTTAGAGCACCTCGTGAATCTTCACTTACACTTCCTTCTTGGACTCCAGGAACCCAATTCCTCAAATAGGCAGAAGCAGTCAAAGTCCTAATCCATTTTCTACCAAGGGACTTTTGGTCTTGAGCCCTTTGTGTTTCCCAGCAGAAAGGGCGAGGGTGGGATCTGGTCAGGAGTCAGAGCCAAAGCCAAGGGTGGGACTGGAGTGGGGTGGACAAGACTCCCCATGAGGGAGAAGTCAGTGACCCACAGACTGATTGGCAGCAGAGTCCATGGTCTTTAGTATGCAGTAGCCATGAGAGAAGAGGCAAGGGAAAGGCTCAGAAACAGGGGTGATTTGACCAACCCACAGAGATGGCCTCCCAGACAGGACATGTGTGTGTCCCTTTGTCAAGTGAAAATGTGATTCTGGACAGACAAGTAGCACCTGCTTGCTGGCTCCCACTCTCATCTCCAAGAACGGAGAAGCCCTCTTGCCTACCTCCTCAGGTATCCTGGCACCCCTCCCCCACCTTTCTCTGGCTATGCTGTCCCTTCCCTTACCTCTGGCCTCCGCCTCAGCAGGGGGAGCTGGAAACCAGGGTTGGGGCTCCTCCACATGTCCTGTTCTGCTCACCCCATCCCACCTCCACCACACACAGCTTTGGCTTGAAGAAGCAGAGAGGAGGAGGGGGGAGGACTAGCTCGTCATGCCTCCACCATTTCTGGGCTGGCCCTGCAGCTCTGGGAGTTGGTGGGAGGACTCCAGCTGCAGCCTTACCCTGGTCTGTGACCCCAGGAGGAAGAA